AATGGCAACGAAGACTTGAACCCTAGCCCAATCAGTGAATTCATTTCCAATTCTCTATTTTGTACCGATTTTTCATGTTCCGGTTCCCCTGGCGTTCCCCCTTCCCCTCCTCCCACTAAAATGCTCGGTCGCCCCCCTTCCCCAAAAAAGTCATAAGATAAGAATACTCGGATATCGAACAAACGAAGCAAGGCTGATTTTACAGTCGGGCATATATACTCATTGGTAACCAATATTTCGGAAGGCAGTGCCTTCCTTCGTCAGGGTCTTACATACAATGATAAGGTTAAGCCAAGACATTACAAAGTGAGGGTCTTTATCAATTCCTTAAACGTTCAAACGTCTTAAGAGGACTAAGAGGGCTTAGGGCTAACAAAAATTTATAAGTGGTTCGACCATGATGTTTACTATTGAATAGTTTTAATAGAGCAAAAAATGATCCTCCACATGGCTCAGTTGTGTTAAGGTGAAATTTGAATTTTTTTTAATTTCGAGGTTAAGTTGTCGTTTTTTTTTCTTAAAAATGTTTCAAATTTTATTTTCTCTGGGGAAAAAAATTCCGAGAAAATGCCACTAAAAATGCTCGAATAATGCTTACATTCTTTAAACTCTCTAAAATGCTAGAAAAAATGCGAGCGTAAAATGTACTCAAGCTCAAGACTGGTAATATTGCCGAGAACGCGAATGGCCTTGTAGTCAGGTCTCTTAGTGCAAAATATAGGCCGGATCGTTACAGACGTGACAAAAGTGTCAAATTTGGCACAGAGCTTCCTTAGCACCTACTGATTAATACTGGAGGGGGTGCCCGTTACAAATGGTCCAAATTACAGATAAAAGGGGGGGGTTAACTTTCACCTATAATAGCAGATTGGGTGCCTTGTGGTGAGTACTCTTCTTTGTGATTTGGCTAAAAAACATTTGTTGCAAATTTTTAAGTTTTTAATTTGGTAGTGTTTAGTTGTTGTTACACTATTCAAAATAGTTTTACATGTACATAATACTGACTAGTGCCCAGTCTCCACACGGTAAGAGTGGCCATGTTCATTGTGCGGACTGTGCGGCTATCAATGTCTCTGCTAAGACTTGCCAGTGATAATATCATTGCATATCAATTTAAACAGATCACAAAGCCAGCTTTCAAAGATGTCATACAATAACATAAAACGCAAATGTATCACATCCTAAACGACAGAATCGTTAAAGTTTGTCATGCCACATGAACGACCTCATGAACCGTAACTGACAACGCGCCCACTTTGTAATTGTGCAGCTAAGATTAGATTATAATTTGCTTCGTTGGTAACCATGTCCTTGAGATAATGATTAAAACATGTCAACCTCGTCCTCAGGGGGAAAACGAGGAGCAAGGATGGCACAGTTGGTTAGTGCGCAGCCTTCGGGGCGAGAGGTCCCGAGTTCGAGCCCGGTGTCAACACCTCCTTATTTCAACTTCTCTTTTTTCTGTGTAGCTTTGACTAGCTTTAAATACCCTTAAAACGGAGAGTTAATGGAGAGAGGGGGTAAAAGGAGCGCACCGTTGACCTCAAGTTTATCACTTATTATTACTGTCACGAGTTATTGACGTAAGATATGGTCGCTTTACCTTTTTCTACCTTTTTATTAAATCCTGGGGACGAGGTTGTAAAACATGCCTCTCCAGGAATTTTTAACACTCTTTATTTTGTGCACATTTGCATTTAAGGTCTCGGTAAAGGAAAACGAGGTGCCCACAGAAAAAAATTCTAGTCGCGCGAGTATTTTCGCTACAAAGGCAAGTTATATATCAAATTAAAGCTAAAAGACTAAATTACCTTATAAAAGGTTTTATTTCATCGAATTTCAAAAGGCGCTTAAGTTCTTTGCTCTCGAACTCAGAGGTATCGAGTTTACTGCTGAAGCTCCAGGCCTTTCGCGTTGTTAAATATTCGCTTCCTTTTTATTGCGTCTGATTGACAGATAAAAGACCTAAAAAAGCGTGTGAGGAAATTTGCATGTGTCTCGTATTAGCGGAGTTATTGCATTTCAAACTAAAAAGTCGAATCTCGAGCGCGATTTACGCAAAGAAACGGACATAAAATGAGTTACAAAGGGAAATCGGAAAATTCCTCACACCCTTTTTGAGTCTATATCGTTATCCATCATATCTGAAAGTTTCAAAGCTATAGCTTAAAACCTGTCCCGACTGGAGGTCGGAGAATTTTGATTTTTGCGTCTAAAATAGAGTGAGAGAAAATCAGCTCTTAAGATTTAGCGCGAGGTCCACGCTTGGCTGGTTAGCTCAGAGAAGGCTCATTTTAGAAGGGTTAAAGAGCACTTTCTGATTTTCTTTTTCTGCCAAAATAAATTTAGGACTCCCTCATGCCAAAAATCCAAAAAAACCAAAATCGAGCAATGTACTAAAATTTTCATTTACCGAGACCTTAAAAAGAAATGTATGAGGTCCCTGCATGCCTAGACACCTGTAAGCGGCTCATTCACTTCAGAGCCCTTGGACCAGAGTGTTAATGGTAGGTCTATACGATCTTTCAAAAAAAAGGAAGGTCGTCGCGTGCGTTACAATTTACAAACAAACTAACTTCAGAAGAGCTGAAATTTACAGGAACAAGGCCTCTTATAGCCAACCAATGATGCATCATTTATGAAAATGAATGTAATTTGTTTGATGCAATTAGGCGAATACCCCGTGGTTACGAAATCTTACGATCATGAATTCCTCAAGAGCAATTCAGTTACCAACTTTTCACAAAATAATGCTGTGGAAAATTACATAAATACCAAAAAAGCAAGGGTCAACAATAATTGTGGCCTGGTCCCTTATAATAATCGAGTGGTCATGATAAAGAAGCCCATCAGTCCCAACTTTGACCACTCAAACAGATTTTTGACAGATTACATACTGCAAAACTTTGCATTCACTTATGCCTATGTTGCCACACCAGGAGCCTAGAAATCGGCTCCTGGTCACACCTTGTTTTTATTGCTGAATATCATTCTAAAGAGCTTTACGAAATATTTTGTTAGTAGGAGTGTTTTGAACATGATTGATATTTAGAGATGGTGACAAAAACGAACACAGAAAAAGTCACAAAACGAGACGCATGAAACAACCGCAATCTAATATTCGTTTTCCACCGATATAATGGCTTCTTTGGCTGCTATGCTGACATTCGTGAAGATGGCCGGTAGTATCACAGCTCGTCCCAGGTTAGGTATACCGTTTATTACCAGTTTCACGGTTCCTGAGACTTAGGGCCTGTTAACATAAAGGTGGGGGACCCCAGGTAGGTGAGGTAACCTGCTTAGGTGGGGTAAAAAAATAACCCTCCTTTACATGCAATCTTACAACCCCGCCATCCTGGGGTGCAGTTTCTCAAGATTATTGAATGGTCGCTAAGCATGTAAACAAGAAAAATGCTGGCAAATCACGTCTACGCTCAATTGCTTCTCTTGCTGCAACCTTCAGCGTTGTGGCTTTCTATTGTTACCTTTAATAATTATGTGAAGCCACCCAGCGCCAAAGTGAATTTTGCGCGAATTTGATGTATCACGAACCCGACCCCGACTAGCCTGGGATTCCTCACCTTGAAACGTTGACATGGCAAAATTTGACCTCAGCTGAGAGGGTTACCTGGTGTGGCAGACCGGGCTACCCACCTTGAAGGGTGACCCCACCTATCATGTAAACGTGATCAAATTAAAATGAGAGATTATATGGACAAGCGGGTTACCCCACCTAAGTGGGTTACCATTCCTACCTGGGGTCCCTCTCCTCCATGTAAACGGGCCCTAAAAGTTAGCCCGGCCCCCTTTCTACAGTTTCAGCAGTTAAACCATTCACCATTTATCATTTGAGTCAATCTTGTACCACTTGAGTCTCACTTTTACGACTTGATAAGCTGTTATTATTTTTGGACATGAGTGCTTCAGTGCCAAATGTAGAGGCTTCATGATAAACTGTGCTGTTTTTTGAAGTTTGGGCTAACTTGTTTCTTTTTTTCGTCTATGAGACCAGTTTCTTTTTTGTTTGCTTTTGCTTTGTAAAGCTTAGACAAACTGCGGAAATTGTAAATGATATGACTTGTGCCACGGTGCTTGCTTCTCTGTCAAAACATGCACTTGCGTCCAGCAGATAACTGGATAAAGAGAGACTGAAAGGCATCCAGGCCTATGTTAAGCTGAAAAATTAATTACCTCCCTAGGAAACAACTATTTTGGGTTCTGTCATTTCGTTATTTGCTCTTCATGAATAGCTGTCATAAATCCCTGATAATATGTGATACAACAGACTCTTTGACAATTCCTTTTTTCTGAAATTTTGTGTGTCAATGGCTATGCCATACGCTTTCTTCAGCTTAAAGTGACATGTAATGACAAGTAATACTTGATAAATAAGGCTTAAGCCACACAATAAGGCCTTCTCTAACTGAAATACATTAGAAAAGGAGAAGAGACCCCAGAAGCTGAGTACTTGCAAGTTATGAAGCAAAGACGAGGCCATCTTAGAAATGACTTATGAAAATGTGGGCGGACTGTGGACTTGCTTTAAGGGCACAGTAATAATCAACTTAATAATACAATCAATAAGCAAAAATGGATAGGAATGCCAGTTGTTTGAGTGAAATTGTTGTTTACAACCAAGGAATAGAATTCAGAGTGATTTAAGGTATTAAATAACAATTTTCAATCAAAACACCACAGGGACCCCAGCAGGTGAAATTTGCAATAATTAAATCCTGTTTAGCACGCTTCAGTGGCATATTTGCAGTGGGCACCCCCTCTAATATTCATGGTACTGCAATAAGCTATCGCTGTGCAAAGTTTGGTGCTTTTGTCAACTCTGTAACGATCCTGACCGTAAGAGACCTGACTATTGGTGAAGAAAAGAATTGGAAGAACGAGAAGCTGCGAAGGCCTGGGGAAATCCACCAGAGGCTCGGTTACCAGGACAAGGGAGAGAAGGAAAATGAAAGTTCTATGGCAGCAAAGAACTTCTATTTTACATGAATAATAAAGTACTTTTGATTTTGATTGCCACATTTCAGGTAATTGTAAAACAGTCTTGTATGCCTTTCTTGATGTAATAGTTTTCATATCAACTTGCTGTATTCAGACTTCCTGTATCAGAGGCTTGGAGGACACGTGTGATGCAAAAAGTGGAAAAGACTGTCAAATGTCAGAATCAACGGAGTCCTCGGAAAACGACGACAGCATGGGACAATGTGAGTTCTTGACAATCTGTACGCATTAAGGTTCATTGTTTTGCATGTTCGTTGCCAGAGAAAATCCCTTTATTCCTTTTTACTATAGATTATAAAACAGTTAAGCTTAATCTTTATCAAACTACAGCATGCATCTAGATAAAATGAGATACTGTACGTCATTGTACATTGCAAAATAACTGTTGCCTCATGGATGGATCAGTACTGCATGAGTATTGGTGTTTACACAAACAACCTCCCCAGCGTGCAAAGAAATTAAATTAGTGTCCGATATAGCCCGGGGCTAGTGGATTTTGTTATCGGGCTAGTGAATTCTGTTTTTAACTTGCCTGAGGGGAAAGTGATATCTTTTGAAGAATTCGAATAACAGAAGAACTGTGAAATCCATTTTGCTAGTCAAAAAGTTTTGGGGCTAGTTGAAATGACGTCTGATCTAGTAAATGCTAGCTTCATCTTGCTTGAATGGCAAGCTGTAAAAATGATTTTCTTTGCACCCTGCTCCCCTCAGAGATCAAAACCTGCCTGCCTGAAGAGGGCTAGCGCGAAGGCCCAATAATCAGTCCTCCACTTTCGGATGTACACCAATGGCACAAAAAAACAAGTTTTTGGTGGTGTGCCATCTTTCTGCTGAAAGAAGTCAAATGCTATAACTCCCACTTCCTATATAATCCAGGTAAAACCTGTACACCACTGCCTCTGGATTGCCAGGAAGAGTTCAGTTCTCACTTCTTGCTCTAATCTGGAAAGTGAGAGTCAAGAATTAAGTGGCCTGGTGTATTTTGTATGAGTAGTGCAAGTTGTAAAACAATGTTAAACATTTGTGTATTTATTCATTCAAGTAGTGAAAGTGTGATTCATGTGGGTGAAATAAGATGAGGCAACGCTCGAAAAAACTTAAATTTCAGCACCTCCTTGGGGCAAGCATCTCTTATGTTTTGCTTGCCTGGTGCAACTACTTGCTTGTTTTAGCTAATAATTTAGTTGGAGGATGACTTGCCAGCAGCCTTGCCCATCTGACAACTGAGCTAACAGTTACTTGCCTTGCAAGAAAAACTGCTTGCCCCTTCCCAACAAAGTTGCTTACCATTAGGGATAACAAGCATTTGAGTGGTTCTAGTTAGTTAGAGGACCTTATCAAATGCTGTGCATATACAACTCCTATAAATTGTGCATCTAGAAGATAATATTGTGACCATCACCAGTTTTTCCCTGTGTAGGTGCTGGAGAAGGGGAGAGTAAAAGGATGCACCATAACGCTTTCAAAATGAGTTGTTTAATTAGGGGGTGTTTACATGACACCGGGGCGACTTTCGTCCCAAGCAAGTTCACTCCAGTTCCCTCTCATGGCTCTATTGTTTACATGATACCACCACGAAATGTTATGCCAGCACAAATCACTCCGGCGTGAGTTCCGGTTCTTGTACCAGGGCAAGAATTTCAGTCCGGTACGAAATCTCGCAACGGTATCATGTAAACGCGAAACGACCACCCATTTCGGTGTGAAATCGGTCTGCTGGCAGACTGGAACAGGTAGCACATGCGTAATGTTTGCGATTTTGAACCACATGTGTATTTTATCAGCATGAAATGTACCGTACCTTTAAATAACAAGATATGAAATGACCCAGTCATCATGTAAATGCGATACGAAATCAAAAAGTCATCCCAGTATGAAACTTGTGTGGGCACGAGTTTTCTCATGTAAACACCCCCTTAGCTAACAAAATGCTAGATAAATGATCCAAACAATGTCCCAAAAACAAGAGCCTGCACCACAGATGGAACTAAACTTCTGGTTAAACCTGTTTAGTATATATTCCAGAACAGTCACTGGTAGTGTTTTTTAGGCACTTTTATTGGCTGCTTAAACTCTGGATATTCAGTGCTATTCATTGATTCACCTCCAGCTTGCGTAAGTTACGAGCAAAATGGCTTCCCGTTTAGCTGCTGTAACGAACTAAGAAATTAAATTTCACAAATAATCAAACAAGTTGTTCCCAAAATACATGAAGAAGGTGACGGAATTTGGTTTGATGTTTTAACAGGTAAAGCTTTGTCCGCTTGACTTGAATTTATTGATGAAACTGGTGAAAAAGTTTTTTGTTTACAAATGCAAATAAGGTCTTGCATTACTTTATTTAACTGACATGTTCATAAATAAGCTTAAAACTAGATTTAATAGTCTTTTTTTTACAGAATGGTTTCAAATGCAAAAAGAAGTCATAACTCTTTTTGAAGAAATTTCCCTGCAAGAACTAAAGAAATGCCTTCAAAAGTTTTATTTGTCAGCAAGGAAACATGACGGCCGCTCAGTCATTGCGTGCCAAATTTTTCAAAGTGTTGGCAACAGTAAATGAGTTAAAAATCATCATTTTTGTGCTCAATTATGTCACTGTTTTATCATATACTAAAACACTTCACCAAAATGGATGGATCAATATTTACCTCACCGCTTTGCAGCTTGGTAAATAGGCACACCACTAGCCACCTCCACTTTGATGAATAATAGGCGGATTTAGCAACAGAATGGGAACGTCATTTGACGACGGGAAAATGCCCAGTTAGGACTAAACTCGACTTCCGGTGCCCAATTTGCCGCTGTACCATTTGTCAAGCCAGTCGTTTGATTTCCACGTGCTGTCATCAACTGATGTTCCCGTTCTGTTGCTAAATCAGCCTAATAATCTATGAAAGAGACTTGGCAATATCCTTGTTCTGGGGCCCCACCAGCGTACAAGGTTTTTATTACACACCATGATTGGCCTGTTTAAAAGCCATTGTCAATTTACCAACAGGTTGAATGGAAATTCGGAGTGCATTTCCCGTAATTCATTGAATCCGTTGTGGGCCTAGAACAAAGATGTTGGCACTGCTTTGCAGACATTACTAACTAGGCTTAGATTATCTATGCAACACAGGTTAAAAAACAAAAGCATGAGCGTTTTCAAAGTCCAAAGAAAATACAGGTTTCTAAGAGGTTTTCAAAGTCTAAAGAAAATACAGAATTCTAAGACCCCTGTTGGTCCGGGAGTAAAACATTTCCTTTTTCAAAGATCTACTCTCAACCATCCACCTTCCGCTGGTAACTTATCAGTACTAACTCACCATCTTTTCAAACCCTCAGAAGTTTGTTTGTTGTTGTTACAAATAATGATGGACATCCATCACCACTCTTCAGTGAAATTTTAACAATTATGTGGAGTTTATGTTTTGTAATGTTTCCCTCTATAGATATTTGTTCAAGCAAGAAGGAAACTTCTTTTCCAGAAACATTAGAGGGGTTTGGGTATCAGTTCAATGCAGGTTGGTAAATATCGAGTTATTTGCAGGGCTGTCACTAAAGGCTGGGAACCAGCAATTCCCCCTACCCCCGGCTACTATGAGCTTGATTCCTTGACACTTTCTAGAAAACCAAAGGATAATGAAACAAGAAGAACTTCCTAGCTGTTTATTTCCCTGTCCACTAACTGCATACATTTACATGCAACAACTTGAAATCTTAGTGTCAGTCCCGAGTTTCTGTTTCCAGACGATAATTGTCCTAGACCACAGGGTCAAACTCCCTGTGCCATTCACAATTCCATCTGTGTTTGTGTTTGCAGAAGAAAATAGTTATTTTATGAGTCAAGGAACAAGTGCAAATTTTGTACTTTTTTCACAGAAGGACAGATGCGGAACCTAGAAACTGGTGAGCCATTCAAATTTGAAGTCAAAGAAGGTGACAGAGCCTATAATCAAAAACATTATGAAGCACTTGGAGAGGTAGGATCTTGGATAGTTCAGATGAATTAAACATCATTCATTGGCATCTTCACTGATGATTTATTCTTTAGAGGCTTTACAGGATAAGGTTAAGTCATAGTTCTGGGGTTTTGATAAATTTTAAGTTCATGTAGGTTTTAGGTAGGTAGGAGCAAAGGAGGTAGCATTTAAGACCATTCTTGACAAGTAAGCATATAGTTGAAGATAAGGGCAAAGTAGCAGATGTTTCACAACAGAAACAGACTCCACTCTCAGAATGCTGGAAACTTCATTTCCAAGACTGTCCAGCACTTTCATGAACAAATCTACAAGTACTCTCAAACCCCTGTAGCTTAGGACCCAATGAAACATTTCGGTCAAATGTTTTTACCTGTTATATCAGGGCTCAAAGTTTAAATTTGAGTTTGGGAGCACTTGTGCTATCAGGTGTAAATTTTTAGGCGTACTGCTGAAATTTCAGGTGCACAGCTGAAAATTTTAGGAGCACAGCTTATAATTTTGGGAGCATCTATTTCAAAAGAAAAAGTAAAAAGCTTAACATTGCCACGCTTATTTGTCATCTTCAGTTTGTTACTTTTACTTCAGTCCTGTGATTGATAAAACACAGCCGATTTGCTACGCAGTAATACCATTGTGAGTTTTAATACTAATTTCTCTTTTTGACAGTACAGTTGTGACTAAAGAAACCTTACACTTGAAAAACAATTCAAAACTGACAAGAATGAGTGTCTCAAACGAGAATGAAAATTAATCTTTAATGAATTTGTTAAATGCGCAATGACTTACTTGTAACTGGAATACGACTTAAAAAACTTTCTTACCTGGAAAAAAAGGCTCTTAATCCGCACTGTTTTTGTTTTGATTGACGTTAAAACTGAACGTTCGACATGATCATCCATTGCGCAAAAAGTACGTGTTTCGTTCGTAGCATATATTTGCATGTGTCCGCGGTGTTTATTACAAAACAGAAGAGTCTGGGATGGAGTAAAACATCGAAACGAAAAAGAACATTCGAGTTTGTAGAATCCATTGGGAGAAAAGACCAATTAAACATACACCGTCTTTCTAGTCGAAAGTAGGTCAGTCGCACTGTGCTTTGGGTTTTACAGTGCATAGGTGCAATTACACATGAATTTTTAGGCGCACAACCAAAAATCCAGTCGCATATGCGGCCAGTCAGTCGCTAACTTTGAGCCCTGGATATAAGAAGGCCTTAGTCATCCTAGAAATTTGCCATATATTGAAATGTTGTAGGTACTTCAAACCCCCCACCTCCCCCCCTCTTATGTACATATTTATTGTGTGTATAATGTATTTCAGCTGACTGACTGATCACTTTGTTGATGTGATGTTCCTTGACCTGTGTTTTGTAGGTGATTACTGAGTATGTTTACAAATTACTGGAGGAAGAGGTCAAGCTAAAGAAGCATTTTGTTCCTGTAAGTGAAATGAGAGTGCCTTATAAGATAATACATGCAGCTGTGTTGGATCTGTGGCTCAGTAGGCTCTTATTATAGCCAATCATGGGGGCATGAAGTACACAGCGCAGAAAGCTGAACCAAGGTCAAAACAGAAAACGATGGGGTAGGGGGTGAGGGGAAAGGGCAGTGAGAAGAATCACTTGCATTCAACCCCTTGAGAGTTTTGAAACTATGTCCAAAAAGTAGACATAGCAAACGGCATTCCTGATTGGCCAACAGAATGTCAACCTGTCAGCGGTTGTCAGATTCCCAGTGGATACAAACTTTAAAGGAGTACTGTCGGTTGTAATGCAGCTTGCTGCATCTAACCTGATTTGTGTTCGCTTAAAGAAAAATATTCATCATCAGTATTTGACGCATCAAGTAGAAGTTCTGCAGCCATCAGTCGCTTTGTGTGAACTTTTGCTTTTGTCCTATGATGTGTCAGTAGTCAACATTTGTTTCTTCAAATGAGACTTTTGTTTAATATTCAATATTTTTATCTGATAGTGAAACAGTTCAACAATCCAATTCTGACAAACAAAATTATTTCCTAAATGCTGATGAAAAATTAAATGGTCATAAACAACAAACCTATGGCCTGACAGTTTTTGGCTGGTGTTAGACCTCAAAACATGTCAAATCACGTGTAAGCCAAACACCTCCTTTCAAAAGACTGGAATGGGCATTTCAAAAATCTCACGGGGTTGATTGCAGGCAGTTTTTCTCACTGCCTTCTCCCCTCACCCCCTCCCCCATTGTTTTCTTTTTCTCCCTCAGCTCAGCTTTAACGCGGCTGAATCTCTTACCCTACAAACCAGAAAAGAAAAAACATGCCAAAAAATCTGCCAGCTACACAGGCTAACCTAGGAAGGTTCCCTGTGACAAAGGGTCAGTGCTTTTAAAAGGGGCTGTCATGGTTATTTAGTTCAATTTGTTAATAATGCCAATTATATTGCCTGTCTTTATTCCCTATGGAACTTAAGAAATTTCTTGTAAATTTCAAAATCACAGCTTTCATGTCAAACATATAACATTATCTCTCCCAATCAGTATATCAAATGTTACCAAAACCACAAAAATGAACCGTGAAAAACTATATATTAGGCTGACAAGTTTTCACAAAATCACAACTACAATCCATTTCAATCTTGTTCAAGTTTGTCCATCCTCTTCTATTTGCTGTGTTATTGGTACCTTCTTTTCACGCTCTGAGCAGATGTTATTGTTATGTTTCAGTCAGTTTAGGCAGCTCCAGCTATTAGAATTTAGAAAAATTTTGTGATAGAGCTCCTTTAAAATGCCTGCCCAGCTTCCCAACCTTTTTTATGGCAGAGGAAAAAAAATTTTGACTTCAGCAACTCACTAGGGGATTCTAAAAAGTTATTTTGTCTTTTATTTCCCCACTGACCCAGCACCCCAGCCAGTTTCTTTCTCAACTAACCCCTTCAATCATTCACTTATTCATATAAGCACAGCTTTCGGTTATTTTTTCGTATTACTGCTTTTTCGATTTTTTTAATTTTTCTTTTCTATGGCTCACACTGTGCCCTAACCCACATAAACCTGTCTGCATACTGAATTTTGCACCTTTTGTGTGTGCATGTTGCACTGTACCTCCATGTATTGCCCCTGTAGTTATCCTTTTGAAATCATAAAGTCTGTCTTAATTGTTCTGAACAATTTAGTTCATTTTCTTCAGGTTGATGCAGAGGAAAATGAAGACAAGAGTTTCTTCTTCATGAGTGATGATGCTTTGACATGTGACAAGTTGATGATTCTTATTCACGGGAGCGGCGTTGTGAGGGCAGGACAGTGGGCCAGAAGGTTTTTACCATGATATTATGCATGCTTATTTCCTTCAGCTGCTTTGTACAGTGGAACCTTGATGAAACGAAGGCCCAAGGGACTTGTCAAATTTGTTTGCTACACAGAGGTTTTTGTTGTATCAAGGTCTTTCATATATGATTATTTTACTATTACTGGGGTAAGAAAATCGTAGGTTATACTTGGGACTTCGTTATGTAGAGGTTTGTTATGTTGAGGTTCCACTGTAGTGCCGCCCTTACAGCCAAACATGCATTAGGCGGTCACCCTCAGGGAGTGGCCCACTGTCCGCTTGATACAGGTCGACAGTTTAGTACAGGGTTGGTAAACCTATGAGTTGATCAAGAAAATAAAGCATAACACAACTCACTGCCCCTGGCTATTATTTGAGGAAATATGGTATAAATTTGTCATATGATGACAACCCCATTGCTATAGTTAAAATGTTAAGTAAGGTATATGATAAACTATAATTAATTTAAAGCTACTGTAGTGGCACAGGATTCAAAATTGTTCAACATTTTGGAAGCTCAACAAATGACGAGCAATGTGGTTATAAGCATGTTGAATCAACGGATATTTACCCTAAAAAGGTCACCTAGAATTTACCCCAAAAAGGAGCCTTTTTCTGGCTGAAAGAACAAAGCGGAAAATTCAGCTAGGTTTTACTAAAAGTTTGATTTTCATTGTTCAAAAAGTTGCAAAAACGTTTTTAAAAGTTTGATTTTCATTTTCTTAATTCTTAATGGTAATGTTTCTCTGTTCTGTCAATAACATTATCAACACAATATTGAATGGCCTTAAACTTTCAAGATATAACAAGTAACTGTTCAACATTTTGTTGAATAAGAGTTGCAACTCCTGTTGAATAACCAATTTTGAACTGCAGTTATAATTATTGTTGTAACTTGTTATTATAAATAATTATTATTAACCAGGGTGTTCAATACTTTTTCTGTGTAGGTTAATTATCAACGACGATTTGAGTTGTGGAACAATGTTGCCATACATCAAGAGAGCTAGTGAGGTCAGGCTAAATCTTTGAACTATTAATCCTTTATATACTGTTGAAACTCCTATAAGTTTGAACTGAGAAACACTGAAGCTTTCTACTGTGGCTAATAAAAAGGACACGGTTTAGCAGTCTTCATCATCTTTATCACTCTTTAATGATAATATTTCCAAAATATTTGATGCTGCTGTTTTGTTCTGTTGAGGGAATTAAGTCATTATTAGAGACCTTAAGATTGAAGTTTTCGGCTTTTCTCCATGAAGTGCAAATGTCAAGAAGTCATGTGACCAGAGCATTGCCGTCAGGTTTGCGGTTTGAGGTTCATGTTTGTACAGCTTGACCATTAGGTAAGTAATTTACCGCATGGTAATCTCAAATTTGAGATGAAATACGACTTTTACAACTCTTCTGCTTATTGATTATCAAATTTTATTTTAAAAAAATGTAATTTTGAAGACAATTCCTCAGCTAAAATAGAACAAAGTGGATTCATGAATGAAAACAAACATGGCAGCCACGAGCAACCACCCGCAAATTTTAAGTCCCAAATATGGGCAGACGGGTAACGTGAAACTGTTAACCGCAAACCATAGTTTGTTGTTTGCAGTAAAATGACCCAACCTTGATCTTAAGGTCTCTATTATTTCTGAGAGGGACAGGCAAAATTACCATGTTGATATCTCCCACAATCCTTTCTGCCTATTGAAATGCAAATGTCATAGGCAGTTAAGTGCAGTTAAAGGGACTGGTTCACAATAATGCGCATGTGTGAGTTCTGACAGTAGCTTATTGTTTTTAAACCAATCAGAAGCGAGTTAGATGCACGCAAGTAAATTTACAAAATTCAAATTAATTGTTCGGGACGCGAGAGTATTTCCGGGCATTTGGTTTGATTTTATATATCCCAAAAATTCAAGTTACTTTATTCTTTGTTACTCCTCAGATATATGTTGCAGCCGATAAGAATAGGATTTACAGCCCTGTCCTGCTTTGTTTCAAACTTTTTACCAACGTATATTTTTACAAGGTCATACCCACGCTAACAAAGCAGTCACCGATCGGTGAACAAAATTTGTAAACAAACATTTTATTACTGTTCTCTCAGTTCGCCTCATATAAACCCAGATATACCTACAAATAGCGCCTGACCGGTGACAAAAACATACAACGTATGAGCATAAAGATTATCCTTAATTGAGAATAAATTTCAATTGTTTATCAGCAAATGAACAAATTCATTCGCGTTGCATCGAGGGAGTGTTCTGGAAAACAAATGTAATCGGGTAGAACACATAAAGAAACCAGATTATAATCAGAATATTCAGGCAATAATTTATTTTAAAACATCAATTCTTAAACATATACGATCGTAAAGCAAAGATACAAGGAACATTTCAAGTGTACCAGATCAATGAAGATCGCATGGCCTGTTGCGGTATTTACAGGAAGGCGGGAGTCAAAAATCAATTCAAAGTTGAACGAACTCATGCCTTTAACCACTTTCCAAGTGTCGTGTATTCTTTTCGTAAGCCACACACTGCTCCTAGAACCATACCAGATCGATCGGCTAAGCTTCTCTATCTCCAAAGACTCTTGAGAACGTCCTGTTGCCGGACGGCCACAATGCTTTTCTGAACCTCCATGATTAAAACATTATTTTTTGCCTCTTCTTAAAACATAACCAGTCAAACAACACAACCACACGTTAATCACCACTACCAAAGTATACTAGGCCAGCCAAAGCGACCGATGTCGGAATAAAGTGAAGGATTTTCAATGATTGTCCCAGTAATGGCGATTTGCGAATTTAGTGTTGACCCGACAAATTTATTCTGAAGAGACAAATGGCACGCATGCGCATAAGCGTGATAGCGTCCCTTTAATCAGTTAGTCTCCCTTGGGAACTACTGTTGAAGTAGGTTTGAACAGCCTTGGTGGCGACAAGGGGAAGTACCTATCACAAGGAAATAGAATTTCAAAGGGTTTTTTGTCTCTCCTTGTGCCCCTAAGAAATTACAGACCATGTTGAAAAAAATCATATAGAAAATAATAATATCACTATAACTCTCTGAGCGAAGTGGTAGCATTAAAATAATAGAGATAAATACAATAAAAAATAAAGTTGATTTGACTTACAGAAAAGGTTACGACAACTGGTTTAATCTAATCTAATCATTATTGTATTAATAGATAATTTTTTCTTCTTAAACCTTACCTCCAAGGAGGGATATGGAGTGCTTATCACAAATGGAAATGAAAATTATGTGCGGAAAAACAAGAAAAGAACAACCATTAGAGTAAGTGCAAATGAATGAATAAATAAATTATTATCATCATCATCATCATCATTGTTATTGTTATTATTATTAATTATCATTATCATAACATGTCAGTAGTGTTATGTTATATGTAACATGAAAACAGTAGATACCCCTGCAGTTTTGCCATTAAAATAATTTAATAATAATTAAACGTCGCTGCTGCTTTCAATTTTATTATTGATTACTCTTAAAACATGTTGAACAGATCAAGTTCTATTGTGTGTGTGTTTTTTATGGTTGATATTGTGTAAAAGTAAAAGTGACCTCATGAGTGATTCTAAAAGATAAATTTACCATAAAAAGGAGTGCAGTGACTCTTAATAAAATACCGCTTTTGAGATCCTGCATTTGACTGCATTTCCTTACCTAACAAAAAGCAAATAATTCTTATTTTTGTTATTCCATTTGTTTTTTAAGGGCAGTGAATCTCCTGAAAGCCACTTTGTCTATGTTTGTGAGCACTTTATTTCAAAAGCAGCAGCCCAAAAAATAGTTGTCGTGGCTCATAGTTATGGAGGAGTTGTCATCGTTGAAGGAGTAAGTGAATGGTAACTTTAAATTTTCTTTCATATGGTAACAGTTTTAAAGTTTCATCTTATCAGCTTGCCAAAGTTTATTTGATGTGGGAGCAATGACTGATTAAAATAAGGGTCTGTTATTTTTTCCGTGACAGTATTTATAGCACTAACGCTGGTGGGGCCACCCAAGTTCCTGAAACAAATAATTTAACCCATTAGCCCCTGAACCACCCGTAACTGTCCGTGCGGATCCACGTCCTTTCTACCCCTTGTGACGTCATCAGTTTTAACGGTCAAGGACAACTTTGTCCGATAATTGGGTAGAGTGAAGAGATCTTTCAAACCATACCAGAATGAGCACAATTCAGTCAGGGACACCGCAGAAAAAGGCAAAAAATCATGTTACATTGACCTGAAAATCTCCATGAAAATCTTGTTCCATTGCCAACCTACCTTTCCTTTCACCTAATCCTAAGATCCTAAAAGCTTTCCTAAAAACTCTTCCCACCGAAATGAAGCCTACTAAATGCCCAGCGAGAGAAAAAAAAATGAGGCAAGAAAAGCGAAAAAAGAGGGGAGGAGAGAAAGCGAAAAGTAAAAGTCAAGACTGCTGTGTCACTTTTAGACCCAAAAACTGTCTTGAAATTTTGCTAATCTGTGCATGCCCGAACTTCGCAAGCTGATATTTTGCATCTGGATCAGAGGAAGCCGTGAAGTGTACGACCTGTAAATGGGTTTGTGTAAGTTTTAGCTCTTTATAGCTCGACAGTGACCAGAAAACCACTCAAATAGCTTCAAAATGCATTTTTCAGCAAAATCTCCAGGCCATGCAGTGAAGCACGAAAGAAATATTGGACACACCATTGAGTTGTTTATCAAAGGGCACACAATTTCACTTTTCAGCATTTCGAACATTGTTTCTGTCTGAAGCACTTTACTAGGCCATGAGTGAAAAACAAAAGGAATTTTATGATTCCCTGGTTAATTTGAAAGAAAAATACTCAATCTTAAACTGGTGGTGATTGTTTATCTTTCCTCCTAAACAAGGTCACAAAATGAGCAGTCTTAATCTTGTTTTGAAATGAACAGGGTAGGAATAAAATGGACAGTTTATATACAGCATCTTAAAGATGGTAAAGATTTAAAGGCGTCTGTAGCACCTCCCTACCCAGGTGTCCATTAGAGCACCCCCCTCCCCAAGGTTCTTCCTTTCAAAGGTGTTATACATGATTGAGCGGCACTGCATTTGAAGCATGCATCAATTAGGAATTTTTTTTCTACTCCAGCTGCAACAATGTAAAGGACTACAAGAAAAGGTGAAAGCTGTTGCATTTACAGATTCTGTGCACAGTCTGGTACACCAAAAGGCAAACAGGAAGTTTATCAAGTGGATGAGAAAGGTCAGAACAACAGATAAAGTGCATTTTATTTGTGACTCTTTAGTTCAAAATTCCTTTTTGTGAATGTAAAAGGTAGTAACTTGTGAAAGTACTACATAGGTTTCTTTTGAATGATTATACCATTGGCCATGTTAAGGATAATGATTATTTTGAGACTCTAGGTTATGTTGTAAAAAGTTTTAGGTAAGTAATAGTAACATCACCATGATCTTTATATAAGGTTTGGTTATTTTTCCAGGTTTAGTCATGTGTATGTGTTACGAAACAGTTAGGAGAGCATGATTGAAGTTTCTTAGGGGTTTGCTTAATTTACCACTAAGAGATATAGAGTATATTTTATGGCGACGCAGAGATACGAAATTTCTCTTCAAATGTTGAACAATAGGCAAACGGGGGAAATATTTGTCAACACAAGATGAGAATTTTCCTATCTCCAAGCGGCCATATGTGATGTTATATTTATTATTATAAACACCATTAAAATACCAAAATTTGATTTTTATGAGTTGAACAAATGGAGAATATTCAATTGTTAGCTTACCACTTTCTACTTGTTTTTTATTTTTTTTTTCCTCTTGTTTAAATAAGATTGACAGGAAGCTTCACATTTTACTCATTCAACTCAAAATAGAAGGTTTTGAATTCTTTTTTTGGCTTGACCTAGTCACTCAAAATGTCATTGGAACAGTGAATTGCACCATGTGATTCATCCTAGATATTATTGTCCTATTTACTATGCAGAATTCTTGTAACTGGGTGTCTTCTGATCGTCCTTTGGATACTCCTATTCAGTCCTTGTATAAAGGAGCAGATTGTGATTTGGTGTCAGCTGGTAAGATTTGATCAGAATGCTTTTGCAAAAACTATTTCATAAATAAATAAATTAAGTGTTTATTAATAAACAAATAAGTCGACTAATCAATGAACAAACAAGTGAAAACTAAGACGTTTATTTAGTAAGGGTACCACTTTAAACTTAAACACTGACAAACTTGCTGGCCTCCCCTAGATTACAATAGAAACTAGATTTCAGGTATATTGGCAATAGTATCCCCCATACTCCTACATGAGTTATTGCGATAAAACTTTGTACACCAAAAGAAATCAAATGGAGTAGAAAACGCCAGTACAAGGAGGAGTAGGAGTAAAAAGAAAGCCAGCAAAAAAAAAAAGAAAGAAAGAAAAGTACATTTTAAAAAATGAATGAATGAATGATTGAATGAATAAGTGAAAGAATAAATAAAAAGTTGAATAAACAAAAGGATTAGTGATTACATGTCAAATTAATATTTTACCCATATCCTATAGGAGATGGTAAAACCTTTTTAATTTTCTTGATAATTTAATAGTCAATAATAGCCTGTTCATACTATGCTTAATGTGCTTGTTTGTAAGTTAGGGTACAGGCTTGGACTTGAATGATCATATTGTGATTTCTATCTCACTCTCTTTCCAGGCACAGTAAGGCATGAGCTCACTTCACATTTTGCTTTTGATTCGGTCTTCAAGTTCTTTGACGAGAAGATAAAATTAGCCGCAAATACTGGGTCAGATGTCTCAGAAGATAGTGAACAAGAGGGAGATGCCAGCTCACAGAATAATATGGACTCTGCTGAAGATCCAGAAAAACCTTCTGCTAACAACATGGATGCTTCTGTAGATCCTGATGAAAAACCATCAGAAAACAAGAAGGATTCCGGTGCCGATGACGTAGATGCCAACTCCCAGACCAAGGGGGACAACCCTCAGAGTCAACCTGATGACTCTCAAATGGAGACTGACATCTAAGCAATAAGCAATAGTTGATTTCTCACGAAAATAGTATATAAAGTTAACTTATTACTTCACAGACAGGTCAGCTCTCCTGGTCAGATTGTTTCAGGGTACATCAGGGCACGGTATGAACTGCAAACTGAGAAAGAGAAAGGTGAAGGATAGGATCCGTTTGGGTGGGGTCATGTTGGAGGCTACTAACAGCTTTTCCCCCAGAAGTTTAAGATAAAAATCTTTCCCAGTACAAACCCCTTTTCATCTGCCACGACCCTCCAGGCATTTAGCAATAAATTTATCAGAGGCAACTAAGGTAAAGATTGAAGTAATAGTGTACTCAACATGCATGTAAAAAGGTATTGCTGAATGTTATACATGTACACTACTATTTCTCCATTTCTAATAATCTCTAGTTGAAGAGTTCACACGAAAACGCTCACTATTGTGGGCTTATGTCCCCTTCTATTTGGAGGGGACATTTTTTTTTTATTGGGGGCATGAGATTTTGTTTCAAACATGTAAGACCAAAAAACATAGTAAATCAGTTAGTCATTAAGTGAAGTTTTACCTAAGAGTAGATTTTCTTAAAAGCTGTATTAACAGACTGTTTTTCAAAGAATGATTATATACTGGTACTCAGTTCAAAATAGAAAAATGCCAATAAAATTATTTATTATTATGTCAGATTATGACCTCATCCTCCACATCTGTTGTGTTAGCCACTAAAATTTTAATATTACAAAGCCTTCACACATGTTAAGTGACAGTGGGTCGATAGTGGGTTTTATGACTTCTTCTTCAGAAAAAAAAGGAAGCAAAATAAAACTATTGAGACTGTTGTTGCTCAAGTCTTAATAGTTGTATTTTCTCTCAGTTTTCAAAAATTAAATGATGCAATCTGTACCATAACTAAAAATAGAAATCATTTTATTGAACAACATGCCTAGAAAAAGAAAATTTTCTCAACAAAAGTGGAAAGAATAACCACCATTCAGTGGAAAATCAGAACCAGTTGTATGGTGAAACTGTAGTAACAAAAACATGTAACATACTAGCTTACCATCTAAAAAATATAAACAATTTGCAGTCAATTTCTTTTTGAAATTATTGGTACCATTAAAAGGTTCTAACCTACCCTCTGTCAGAATTCATCAAATTTGTTCCATATTTTTGGACACTTGAGCAGTAGTATTTATTGTAACTCTGTAAATCTGTTTTATATGCGAGACAATCAGTATTATTCTTTATTATGAAGCAGAACCAATACATTTCATGCGTTTCTTAATTCCTGTTTGTAATCTTTAGAATAAACTCATCCATCAGTTACCGGTTTCGTACAATATACTATAAGTAATATTATCCACCCCAGTGCAGATAGATGTTAATAATACCATAATTACAAATAAATATTTAACTCCATTAAGAGACATGTTATGTGATCAAAAGGGCAGATACATTGATGATAGATAAAACACAACTCAAAAAGGAAATGAGCATTGGTATGTAAAAGTGGCACTGTCCATAAATATTCTCAATTAACATTCTTTGAAACTGCTTGCATCTCCCAGGGGCAACACTGTAGGCACGAGTTATATTTCAAAATGACTCTTTCCTCAGCCTCCAAAAGCAAAAATGACATTGTTACAGCTGTCTTTGGTTGTCTGTAAGAAAGATTACTATGCAACCTCCTTGGTCCTCATATTTTGCAGACCTACTACCAACAGAACGACTGGTACTGCCTGCCACACTGTTTCACGACATGAGAACATACCTCACGCGCAACAAGACGCCTGCAAAGTTAAAATTGAGTCAACTCCACAGGCATGCCAGCAGTAAAGTCTGGAATGTTGCCCGTGATGTTTGTTGTCACATCAGCAAAGTATCCCAGGCGGTACTGGTGGCTATGTCATCACCCTTGGTTTCCTAGCCTGCAGGTGCACAAAAGGACAGGGAGAGGGTTGGGGCAGAGTGCAAAGAAAGGTCCCTCTTTCTCTACCCAATCCCCTCTCCCTTTTTCCCCTTCCTTCTCCTCCCCTTACGACACCTGCCACACAGGCTACTGTTTTCCCTGCCAAATGACATCTGAGCAACAAGTTCAGAAATTCCAAATGTCACTTCCCAAATCAGAGTAGTTCTTCTGATTGGTTGAAAAGTTTGCTGCTTTTTCAGGCTATGTTACTGGTAGGTCGGCACCCAGAAGCAGGCTCTAGTGTTGTTGCATTAAATGATTTTAATCCAAAAGTTGCATGTCATAATATGTAACAAAATTTCTGTTGTGTGCAATCTTGCACTGTGTTTAGACTGTAGACCTGAACCACTGGTTGACTGAGTACGACGAAAGTGACAATTAGATGAATCTCTCATGATTTTGGTCTCCACTTGTGTTTACACTATTTAATAAATTAGCAAAAATTCAACATTCTTGAAGTTTGATTATTTAAGCTAACAATAAAAAATATTTATATATAATCAACATTTATAAATACTATATGTATAAAAATATATTTATAAAGATAGTAAGATATTTTAATATCTTGCCATCTTTTCTAAAAGCCCTATCATCAAATGGCTTATCCTTTATTTATGTAATAATTATTTTATTAAAGGCTGATAAAAGTTCAAAATTTGTTCGTTTGGAACAAATAATTCTCATCAGAAGCTATCAGATGAAATGTTTCGGTATTGCAGTAGAATTAATAGCCGTTTCTACATGAGGCTTTATGTTGGGGCTGTTATGCTCTAAAACATTTGCGTAATACAAGAGAGCAGTTACCACTGAATAACCCATGACCGTGAATAGTACTTTTAGAAGTCGATTGCCGTGAGCTTCAAGCTCTCGCTGAAAGATTTCAAAGAAAGTCACGAACAGAAATGTTCCGTTAGCGATCCCTTGCAAAATCCCCGACGATAAACTGCTTGAAAGCTGTGAAGAGTTATTTAGTACAGCCATGCCAATGCCCACACCTAAAGGTCCCATCATGGAAAAGAGAATTGCAGATTTGACGACGGTTTTCGACGGCATCACGTGTTGAACTAGGCTCACCCCTAGCGAAAATGCAATAATCGATTTGTGGATCACGATAGCTCCAGCTATCTGCGCTAAACGCTCCACGTCGGTGATCAATCCAAGGGCAATACCTTCGAATACTGAGTGCAGTGATAAAGCGACAATCAGAATGTAAACTCTCAAACTTGATTCTCCAGCAGAACGACCTTGGACGGGGGCGCTGCTCGCCGCTGAAGAGCTCGACCTGATCAGAAACCCCTCTTGCTCTTTAAAACCCTTGCCCAAAAGTGGTTGCCGTTGATCATGGCTCCCATGCGAATCGAGTAGCAGTGGAGAATCGTGTAATGTGTGAACGATCTGCTCAACGGTCAAGACTAGGAAGAATCCAATGCAGGTAGTAAACTCTGCTACGGGAAAAACCGTGTGCACATCGGCCAAGTTGAAAGCTTGCTGGTATTTCTCTCTGATCATCGGTAGCAAGTCTAACAGGCACGTTGCAAAGAAAACTCCTCCAGCGAAACAGTTGCAGTAGCTCAAGAATCGTTGCCTTGCCCCCGTATGCGATCCCCGAAATTTCAACGGAAGAAGACCGGCCAAGAGAGTCAGTGAAAACAAAATGGCGATCGCGATTGCTTTGATGATTTCGTGCTCCATACTGACTCACAATCCCTGTTTTTAAACGCTGTCACCTGAAAGCTTCGTAAATTTAAGGTAACGAGACCTTTCCAGCTTCAACTAGCGGTGTGTCTTGTGATTTACTGTGAAAATAAGCTTCCTTGTGTTTGCTTTTGATACTGCCGTGTCACCGGGAACACCGGGGAATGCTTGAATGTCAAATTAGATGAAAAGTAACCAATCAGGTTTCCGTAAAGTACGTCACGTGCGAATGACTCAGTGTTACCGCAGTTTGCAATCGTGTTAGTTTGCAGGCTCTAATTTTTAAGCGCTGACTTACTTATTCTAACCTAATAGGCAAGAGCTAAGGGACGATGATGGCAGTAGCCAGTCTTGACTCGCGCGATTCAACAGCAAGGGTCTGCAGAATTATACATTTCATATGATAAAACAAAAATTTCGTTGTATTATTTTTAAAAATCGGACAGTTTTGAATAACTAAGATTTTAAAAATGTCAGCTATCTATAGGTTTCTACTCTTCATGATAAGCGGAAAAATAAGGAAACATAAATAGTCAATGAAAAAAGTTGTAAGATGAATAAACACGCACATACATGCGCACCTTTTAATCTTTTAAACAACTTACATTGAAATAACTGAATTGATAAGAACCAAAAGATCAAACAAACAAAGATACAATGAAGGAAATAAGTCAAAAGGAAGTGTTTACATATCTACGTAAAACGTGCTGACACGCGATTAAATTCCGCTCTTTTGGGGAGGCAAACATGAATATCTGGCCAAAAGATAAAACATCGTGCATTGTGAATCGTATGTATCTTTATTTAGCACCTTCCGCGTTCTAACAAATGTAAACATGTCATCCGTCCAAGTCTCACATGATTCACGTGAAGTGTCAGTCAGTAATGAGGAAAAAAAAAAACTATCGATAGCGAAAGCAAAACAGGGGAATCGAGGGCAACCCAAGACAACCGATCATCACTTGCAATTTTTTGAATGATCTCTTGACAGCTCAAGGTCTTCTGCTGCATTGAAACTCAAAGTCATACTGCAACACAACGTATCGCATAGTCGGTCCTTCCAAATGCACAAAGACAGTCCAGTTGCACAAATCTATGGCTGTACACTTTTTTTTTCAAGTATCTGTTATCTCTTGTTAACAACTTCTTATTGAAAAGAAAAGAAAAAGAAAGATAACAAACAGATGTAAAATGAACGCCGAAAACAACAATAACACAAAAGGAAGAGATTGCAGATCTCTCAACCTAAGACTGACGTGATGACACGCGATGAAACTACTCTCTGTTAAGGGACAAGATGTCCGGCTAGTTTCAGTTGGTGTTGAAGGGTTGCCAAGGCCACTAGTGTTCAAAAAAGATCGTGCATTACCGTACGTCATTATGATTCAGCTTACGTAGATAGGGTCGGCCGATAGGGAGAACTATTGGGAATCTTCACTCTCTAACCACGATATGTACAGAGTCAGAGCCGTAGAGTCAGACATATGCTCCTTTTAAGCCTCGGTTCCTTGGCCCCTTATCATTTTGGTCTGAACTTGGGTACAGATTTTACTGTCATGGCTTTTGATGCGTTAAAAAGCAACCGTTTTAACATCTCTTGAAGAGTGTGGTTTGTTTAACACCAGGAATTTAAAGCCCTTTTTAAAGGGCTAACGTATTAAAACACGTTTCACAAACCCAAACTAGTTCCTGCAAAGGGATGGAGTTACGTAAGAGGGTTACCGGGAATCTGATGCTCTTCTCAGTACATGCGTTACAAGCCCAGCTGGTTTTTCTTTCCCAAGGTGTGAAATCACGTACCCAAGTGTAGGTCCTGCAACTGCGAACGTCTCAAGTAAGGTGTGGAAAGTTACACTATTCTTAGTGTCTCTCACGGAAGGAATAATCTGCTCCCAGATTGCTCCGTGAAAACAACTTTTTCATTTGAGTGCCACCAGAGGGGAAACCGGTTTTGCTTTCACACATGGAAAGAGGATCCACAATAGGGGTTCTCAAATCCCGCTTTCCCGCCTTTTTTTCTTCTCAGTCCCGCCATCCCACCCTATTTTACGCCCGAATCCTGATCCCGTCCCAATTTTTTTACGAGATGTTTTGCTTCATTATTGAAATAGACGTTATATAAGACCTACCTTCTAACAATTGTCAGTTTTATCGTCAAGGTTATCAACAACACAATTAGCGACCGTAACTTTATTTTCTGTTTTGCTTATTTTTTCGTCTGCGCATCATGACATATTTACTTCGATATTTTAAGTCCTGTATTTTTGAAGGTAGATTGATGTTATCTGTCTGTCTCACGATGATTCGACCGCTTTGCAGTTTCCAACCCTTCTAAGCAGGAAGTTTGCTTCTCCATCCTGTGTAGTCAACGGCCCGATTAATGGCCGTTTTATGTGTTTTTAGGTAAACGGTTTTCTCTTTATATATAAGATACAGAATTAAATGAAGAATTAAATGATGATCATCATTCATTTAATACTTCACTCCTCAGTTCACATATATGATTTTCATATATTCATAACTTTAATACATTATTAGTAAAGACAAAACTAAATTCCCTTATCCCGCTACTTTTCCCTTACGATTCTCGCATCTCGTCCCCATAAAAATAGGAATTCCCGCTGGCCCTTTAAAATTCCCACATCCCACTCCTGTTTTCAGCTCGCATCCCGAGTATCACCCGCCACAAAATAGCCAAATCCCTCATCCCGCCAAGCCTATTGTGGACCCTCTGGAAACTGAACGAAGGAGGAAAACATTAGCAACAGAACAGGAACGTCAGTTGAAGACGGCGCGCGCAAATCAAACAACTGGCTTGACCAGTGGCTGTGCGTTGGCTGTGCGGCAAATTGGGCACCGGAAGTCGAGTTTAGTCCTTTCCGCGCGCTTTCCTGTCGTCAGATGACAGTACGTATGCTTAGTGTCTGCTTAAAAGAGGGTGTCCGCTTATTTGGGGGTCCACTTAATAGAGGTTTCACTGTACTAAATGTTCTCGAAACAGAGAATGTTTTGATCAAAGCTTTGTAAATCGAACTGAATTAGTGCATGGAACCTTGTATTTCAAGTTTTTATCTCACCTATTGTATATATAATATGTTTGAAAATCTGTATTACGAATCGGTAAGTCGTACGTCACGTTGCCATGGTAGCAAAATTTTAGGATGACACAACAAACCCAAAATTTACTAAAAAAAAAGTAACTTTGCACTGTTTCAAACCTCATCGACCTTATTCAATTTCATTTGTTTTGTCAAATGTTGGCGAAATTTTCTGGCTTGAATTCGAAAGGACCGTATCTGAGTTTAGAAAGAGAAAAAAGAAACTTTTTGTGTTTCGTTCACCTACTCCGTAAAACGGGCGCGTAAAAATAGGAAATTTCATGTCGTAGTCGTGCAACAACGGCAAAGAAATGTACAAAATAGCGTGCATACTACAAAGTAGTAACAGTGAACATTATTTTTAGTGGTCAGTTGTGAGCGAATCTAACGAGTTCTTATAAAACAAGAGAGGGCCGAGAGAAAAGTAACGTCGTATTTAACAGGCGACCACCCTCGGGTTCATCACATTTGTCCACTGAGTTTAGCCTTCGTGGCCGGAGTTCGAAAGGGAAGCGAAAGGGGACTTTGGAGCGAGAGAAGTGCTATGGGCGCACGGTCTCTAGCCCAAATTCCCTTCACGCCTTACCTTTCGAATGCGGCCTGCCACACAGGCTAGGCTCAGAGTTCGACGTTTCGACACGGGCCTTAGTCCACGGAATATATAAATCAGGCAATTTGTAAGTTGAGAAAAACATTAGTTTGTTGATGCCTAATATTTTGTTCCAGTAAATTATTCGTGTACAACGTATTCATGTTTGATTTTGACACGATCGTAGAGAGGTTTTTCTCTTGCGTGCGGAAGGATGCTTTGGTGTCGGCAGCACGATAGTCACGATCCACTTTAATACGGACCCCTCGTTCAGTCTGAAATGTCACACGTCTCGACTCCCTCACCCGCGCCCACCACGGGTTAGAGAGTGGAGAAGTATGGTACACAGAAAACACAGCCTGTAGAGCAGAACTTGGCCGATACCCTCTATCTATAGAAATAAAGGCTTTCCTTGTATTTTGCAGACAAAGATTAGCGCAAAAATCGGACAACCCTCTCTTAAATGAAGCTTTTGTTTATGCAAGAAACTACAGCCGCGCGCCAGTTTTTTGCTTTATTACATAGTGGCGAAACAATACAAATGCACCACAAAACCCAGGTAATAAATCAGCAACGTGTTAAGACTGTTAAGAACACTAATTCTAGCATTAATTAAATAGAGGATATTACTTGGCCGCGCGGAGATACGAAATTTGTCTTCGAGTGTTTTTTCAACACGAGAAGAGAAATTTCGTATCTCCAAGCGGCCATGTAATGTTCTATTTGTTATAAAAAACACCAATGAAATACAAAATCATTTCACTTTAATAGTTTTTTGGTGTGAAAGGCGCGATTTATTATGAAGCCATAGCAACGGTGATATTTTCTGAAGATATCAAGTTTTCCCGCGAAAGCTCACCTGGTATTTTATTGGTGTTTATATAATAATAATAATATATAAACAATAGTTAACAAAAAAAATTTTCAAGATTGGTTAAAAGCTCGAAGCAACGTACATATCAGATAGCTACAGAGAAAAATATACAAACAAGGAAATTAAAAAAGATTACCATTTAGAAGAATATCTTAAGACAGTTAGAAATCCAGATCATAAAATCAGTATGACTAAACTGCGATTAGGAGTTCATAGTTTACGCATACAAACAGGGAAATATGAAAATAAAGGGGCATCCATACCAGTAGAGGAAAAGCTTTGTTTAGTTTGCAGAAGAAACTACATAGAAAACGAAAAACACTTCTTAATGCTTCTTAATATGGAATACGATAATCTTAGACAGAAACTTTATTTACATATTTCAGAAAATGATACAAACTTTGATACAAACTTGGTCAACTTAACAGATCATGATAGAACTTGATATTTACTAGGATTGCCAAATATTTCCTTCTAATGTTTCAAAAAAGAAGACAAATTTTGAGCCAAGAATCTAAATTTATAATCGTAATAGTTTTTTTAGGGGTTCGTCACGCGTTCCTGCCCCACTAACAGGAACGCGTGACGAAACCCTTAGAACGTCTGTGTGGGAAACTAGCTACGCAGGCTATCTCATATGCTAAAAAATAATTTTATCGCATGATATAATGCCCTTTGAATGGTGAAAGTATTACAAAATGTGTTTAGGGGAATAATTTGCCTGTTTGCAGTGAACAACTAATCAAATTTGTGGCGTGTTTACATCATTTCCGGCCGCCATATTTGTGTTCCTCGGAGGAGCACAAGTATGGCGTCTCTTACACATTTTGAAGAACAACTCAGCAGCGGAAAACCGCACAGACGTGAGACCTGGCCAGGTTGTTAATTTATCGATATTCTATACTATCTGAAATTCTTGGCTTCAGACATTCCAAGGTTTTGATTTTAGTTTTCGATGGCGTGACAGTGAAAACCACCAATTGTGTAATGGGGCAGTGTAAAATGCAGACTGCGGACTGACTGCGCACTATTGTTTTTAGGGTCAGAAAACAATGGGACTATTGTTGTCACGTTCTCATTTGCACGGTAAAAACAATAGTCTGCAGTCTGCGTGTTACACTGACCTACTGTGTAATTTTGTTGTTTCTGTTCATGTTTTAGATAATTTGTTGTAGTAGCGAATATAAAATCTTTATTATAACTAGACCAATATCTCCCTTTGAAGAGTAAGCCGCAATAAAGATACACTATTTAACTACACTATACCCCATGATACCGGCCGGGTACTGTCTTTAGTCCGCTCAGTTTCCGTTATCGAGTCATATTTTTTCATTCATTTATTCATGTGCAGCATGGATTTGCGATATTTAGCTTCTTTAAAGAAAAAATATTTTGCTTTGCTCACTTGTGGGCATTTGTTCAATTGTATTGTGTGAATCTGCTCATCCGGCCTTGGATATGGGGCGTTCACAGTCTGAGAGAAAAAAGTATCGCGAGAAGTGGGAAAGGGGAATCTAATGGGCACGCTTATTATTGGCTAGATTATATCGTTTCATCCGAAATTAACCAAGATCGTTACAACTGAACAGCCGAAGATTATGGCCAGTACCTTAAAAAGCTGATCATTATTTCCGGCAAGCTCTCGCTGAAATATTTCAAAAAACGTGACAAACAAAAATGTACCATTCGCCATCCCTTGCAGAATCGCTGTAGAAAGCTTCCCGGGGAGATTGGCTGAGATGTGAAAGACAGCCATGCCAATCCCTATGCCAGCTGGGCCAGTGACGGAGAAGAGAACGGATGATTTTGCTATCGTCTTTGCCTTCATGTTGTTTTCTTTCAAAATGATACCAAGTGAAAATGCCATAATTGTTTTGTGGACCGTTACCGCTCCTGCTATCTGAACCAACTGATCGAAGTCTCCAATCAATCCGATTGCAATTCCTTCCAGAAGGGAATGCAATGACAACGCAAAGATCAAAATGTAGACTGTGACGGCATGTTCCGGTGTTTCCCTTGAAGGATCACGCCCCGAAGAATGCAATAGCGGTTGTCGTTCGCGATGGTGTGACATGTGCAGATCAATGCCTGCAGAATGGAACTTGTGAACAATCATCTCTATTGTTAAGATCAAAAGAAAGCCAAAACATGTTGTGAACTCTGCGACAGGAAAATCGGTGTCAATGCCAGCCAGTTGAAAAGCTTCTTGATATTCTTCTCTGATCATTGGGAACATGTCGAGCAGGGACGTTGCGAAGAAAATCCCTCCGGCGAAGCAATGGAATAAGCTCATTAACTTTGTGCTGGTTTTCCTTTGTGATCCTCCAATTTTTATCGGAAGAAGACCGGCAAAGAGCGTGAATAAAAACAAAAGGGGAATTGCGATTTCTTTAAAAATTTCGCTCTTCATATTAAATCAGTCACCAAAATGTAGTCTAACTTTGGAGTTGGCGCGATTCACGAAGTTAATGTAGCAAGACCAACAGACGGATATGCATAACAAGAATGCGCCTTGGTGACCTCAGTTAAAGCATTAATATTTTCATGTGACGTTCACGTGGAAAGAGTTAATTATGCGCACACGCGAGCGTCATCTGTTTTTTCTGTCAAGAGAGACAAAGTGAGTTTACGCAACAGGAAGGCAGATACCCTGGCTCCAGGGGTCCGTTCTCAAAATACCGTAATATGAAATAAATCGTGCTTACAGCGAAATCCCGAGGAAACACTCTGGTAACTGGTGCCTATCAGATAAGGAAATTATTTACAGTTGAAATATACAGTCAGTATGCCGGAAAAAATCTCGATTTGCTTTAACCGGGACCGCGAAGAATCGGTAGGTAATGATGACGTTTCTATTGTTCGCGCCCGTAAGTAATTAGAGATGGTTAGGATGACGAAAAACAGAACATCCCGAAGGGACCGCTTGGGTAGATTTTCGGACATTCAGTTGTATACTTTGTTGTATACAGTCATACTTGCGATACTCTGTAGTGTTACGTGTTATCAATGACATTCTGTTGAGCAGCTGTTTCTTGAAAGTTATGCACCAAAGCCCCAAAAGACACTCGTTAAGTGCAGACGAAGTTATAAGGTGCGTATAACTGTATGCATATATATATAAACACTTAAAGAATTTGCCAGACACGAGTTCACAAATCTTTGATTGGAAACAATTTACCAGACACTGTTTCTCTCTCTTTGGAGGAATAAGTTTCAGTCGAGAACGGATGTTTTATGAGTCAAATGAGTCAATGAGTCAATGAGTCACGAGTCAATGAGTCAATGAGTCTGATCTGAAAAAATAAACGTTTCGGGTTCGGTTACTTAATTTGTCTACTTGCTTCATTGCTGCCTGATGCAAGGCCTATTTCTGACATGAAATCTCAACCTGGGCTGTTTGTTACCCGGGGGGGCACTTGGGTATTTTTTGGGTGGGTATGTGCCGCCCGGGACTCCGTTCTAGAAAAAACTTCCCCTAAAATTGATACCCCGTTGTAGAAATGGGCCAATTTTTTATACCCCGTTCTAGAATTCGCCCTAAAACTGATACCCCGTTCTAGAAATGGGCCAATTTTTTATACTCTGTTCTAGGATGCAACAAGAGTACAACAGTTTGCTTGTTAACGCATTGAACCGTATTTTAAAAAGCAATCTGTCCTTGAACACTTTCAAATGGCTGCTTACAAAAGTGGAGCTTTCGCGCGTTCGAAATATTATACCCCGTTCTAGAAAACGCCTCTGAATTGGATACCCCGTTCTAAATCAGGAGCTTCAAATTCACGACCCCGTTGGGCGGCACATACCCGTATAGGTAATGTATGGGAGTACCCCCTCCCCTCCAGGGTTTGTTAGCAGTATCCCAGCCCCTGCCGCTACTACTACGCGCATGCCCCGAAAAATAGCCTTCCCAGACACCCTTCAAGAACCATTAAAACCATCAGAAAATCCATGCTACTAGAGTTTCCATACCAAAAGTGAAGTGCTGCCCCAAGGTTGTTCATATTAGTTGATGCACGAGTTTTAAACGGGCGAGCTTATGTAAATAAACACAAACATAATGCAAACAATGAATGCCCAAAGATTTTAATCAATCAACGAGCCTTGAAAGCTATTTAAAATTACAATGGGTATACAGTAATACCTCAACAATAATTATTCGTACACTGTATGTTTCTAATATAAACACTGACTGTGTACAACTGTTCGACTCGCTGTTTCATACCCCTCCTCGGGCAAATTACAATAATTGTAATTCAGTTTGTTCGCCTCGTAGCATCATTCACCTTTGGAGGCAAGTAAAACTGTTTGGAAAAAGTAATGAACTACATTGGCAAGATTATCAACTGAAAACAACTCTGCTATTTAACAATTAGTTCATGCGTCAGCGTGCGTATGTCGAGATATTGAGCACGCGGGAAGTTTGGAGAGCACGAAAGAGGCGTGGCGCTCCAAACTTCCCAAGTGTTCAATATCTCGACATACGCACAGCTGCAGTATGAACTAATTGTTTTATAACATTATCAAAGCGATCAATGCAGCAAAATTTTATTATTTTATATTATTGTAGGGCGCGCTCAAAGCAGTACAATGTTTACGTGACTATATTTTTTCCCTCACAGTTAATCTTATGTTTTTATCCTGAAACTGAGAGAAAGTGTACTCTAAAATGATTGTAAAATCCATATTTTACTAATTTAGGTGCCAAAAAAATATCAATTTACGGAAAAGTGGTTATTGAGAGAAAACAACTTTGCAAAGAATAATCTCATGCAATAGCCCGCACAGCTCGCGGAGATGACAAAAACAACAACAACACTCACCTCTTTTCCTTACTATCGGTTAACAAACTCAAACGTTTCCTCTTAAATTTCAATTCCTTATAAAACACATGGTAAACGCTTCATCGTGCACTGCTGAGTTACGGATGCACTCAGGAGACTCAGGATTGCTAAGCTCACAACAACTCGAGGAATTACGAATAGTTTATTGACGTCATCAGCGTGCTCAATAGGAATATGAAGCACGCTCGCGCTATGTTATAATGATTGCTGGAACGGACGCTTAGTGTCTTGGGGCCCGTTTCCTCGAAAGTCCCGGTAACTTTTCGGGCCCGAAATCAAATATTCAAATCAAAATATAAAGTATAAGAGCGCAGGTCCCGGCTAGCAAACTACTCCATTTTGTTTCATTAACTGACAGTTTTATCATGTTAGATGCAAAACTATAGATAGAAAATTGTATTTCTCTTGATAAGATTCCTCGCTAAAACCTAATGAATACTTTCCAGAATACTTACCTTTACACCCGCATGACAAGCTAATGAGTAACATACCGATACAGATATAAAAGAAGAACTTTCCTTCGCACTCATGACCGACTTTCTACTTCAAACAGGGCCCAAACATCAACGCACCGAATATCAAAGAACGACTGTTCCCAGATTTGAGTCTTCAATGAGTGCTAAGAAATTCCATAATATAGGTTTATCTCAATTTACTTTAAGCGCTGTGTTCAAAGGGAATTAAGGACTTTCTTCCGAGGCACTCACAAAATTTAGGCTGGCTTATTTTTCGCTTCTGCTATGTGGCAGGGCCTGGGAACTGCAAACAAACAGCCTGGGTCGAGATTTCATGTCAGAAATAGGCCTTGTGCAGGCAACAATGAAGGAGGTAGACAAAATAAGTAAAAGTAATGCTTAATTTTATTGTTTCTACCGAAACTTTTATTTTTTCAGATCTGACTCATTGACTCATGACTCACTGACTCATTTGACTCATTAATACTTTACACTCGTTTCAGTCACCTACGTCACCGGCAAACAAGCAAGACGAGTGAATCAAAGGTTAGCTTATCGCTAGCAAAACATTGTCCAGACGATTATAGAAATTCGCCGACAATCAAATTCTGTGCCGACTTGTTCTCTGCCCACAGATGTTTTCCTATAAAGTTTAAAAAAAGACTAGAACGTGCGAGCGTGAATTAATCAAACCTTTTAATTTCCAAGGTTTACTTTCCAGCAATTAACATGAACTGTATGTAAAAAGTGAAAGAGAAATAGCGTAAAATTCCAACTTCTAATTAAATCTTTTCTTATGGTTTAGAATAAAATGTTCTCGAAATTGAGAATTTTTTCAGACCAAAGCTGTATAAATCGAACTGAAGCAGTGCAGGGAACCTTGCGTTTCCTGTTTTTCATGTGTTTTTACTCTCACCTATTAGACCTATTGTATGGAATATCGTGAAAATCTTCATTGTGAATCCGTATATTTCAAAGAGCTACACAACGACCAAGATTCAAGAATACTATTGGCCGACGATATCGAGAGCGGGGGCAGCTGTAGTGTTATCTACACTCTTTTTTTTTTTATAAGAATGTTGTTTTTCCGGCCCAGGCTGAATATTCTTATTTTTTGCCGATTTTAGGCTGAAAATATTCTTGTATTATTCTTAAATTATAGCTTATGACATTTCCGTTTTAGAATTTATTGGGGTATCAATTACAAGTGTTTGGTATCTAGATCTGTACTGAATACTGTACATATGTATTACATGTACCGTTCATCGAACTGTCATTAGCGTTGAACATTTTGCTATAGGCTAGTGCAGGTTTTTTCGTTTTGTTGGCTAGTTTCGCCGTTCAGAGAAAGGGATAATTTTATACGGTTAAGTTAAAAACATAAAATTGTATTGTATTTACAGATGTTTCAACACACAAAATTATATCTATCCTTTTCAAAATCTCAGCCTCGGCTTTATTCTTAAAGGGAACCTCAACTCTTACTACAGAATAAGTTTAAATCGAATAAAATTATGTTGATAAACAAATTTGTTCGAAATTTGTCCTTAACAAAAGTGTTTATATCAGGAAAAGTGAATTTTAAAATCGCTTATTTTCACTTTCAAATTTCGCGGGCGCCGCCATCTTGAATAATTGTGACGTGTCACGGTTGCTGTATTGTTCTGACACAAAGAGCTTTTGTTTAATAACAATAGGGCAACCGTAACACTTCACAATTATTCGAGATGGCGACGCCCGCAAAATTTGAAAACAAAAATAGGCGAATCTAAAAGTTATTACTTTCGGATACAAACGCTTTCTTTAAAAATATTTTAGATTGACTTGACTGTAACAGTTATTTCCTGTGATTTAAAGTTATCTTTTTGTTGAAGTGGAGGTTCCCTTTAAAATATTCTTAAAATTTCGCAAATTTCAGCCTCGATATTTCTTATAAAATATATTCTTATATAAAAAAAGAGTGTATTACGACTATTACTGGTATAAATAAACGGGGACTGATTCTTGCTTTACGCTGGGTTTCTATCCAGTGCAGTCAGTTTTCACCAAGGCTTTAGAGGATCTCATAGTTACCAACTGTATTTCAGTCGTCCACAATTAACCATAGGGAGTGA